AGTACAAAAATGAACAAAGTACAATAGTAAATAGTATTAACACTACAGTTGGTAACCTTATTCACATACATTGTCAAATCCTTTTATTATTGTCATTCACATACATACATTGTCAAATCTATTTTCACCTTTTGTTCTTTCTTCTGGATTTTTCTGCTGTTCTGAATAAACGTGTTCGCAAAGGTGTAAGCTGATCTTTTTACTTAACATAATTTATGGTGCCTCCTGTGAGGTCTAGAAGATTTTTAACCCAAATTGTTTTGACGGTTTATGCCAAAGAGGACACAATTGTAATCGGATTGTGGGGCATTGCATCGATATTTGTGGATATGCCGACGCACACGGTTACGTCACAATTATAACATTGCTTCAGCACAATGACGGAAATAAATCTGAGGAAGTTTCACGCACGAAAGGCAGGAACAGGTGAATTGGACTCCGCGAAGGCTGAGCAAATACTGAAGTCCGCTAGTGGTCATTATGACCGCATGTTGCAGAATCACGAAACATTAATTCGCTCGGCCAAAGACGAGGAGCTTGAGGTACATGCATCTTGGTGGCATTCCACTGAAGAAATGTATAACGAGTTATGTGCAAATCTTCTGCGTCTACGTAGAGTGCAAGTTAATCCTGGAGACCCCGTCATCCAGCGTAAGGGAGATTCTCCTATTAAGTTGAAACTCGAGCCAATAAATATTCCAACCTTTGACGCAGCGCTGCACAATTGGTTGGCCTTTAAGGACGCCTTTGAAACGTTAGTGCACAACAGGGTTACGAGGAATTGTGGCGAGCATTAAAGGAGCGGTATGATAACCCCAAACAGTTAGCAGAAGTACATGTCGCTCGCTTCCTCAACCTCGCACCAGTGTCGGAGGACTCTGCAAAGACGCTGCTGAATATCGTCGATGTAGTGAGCGAGTCCCTGCGTGCATTGACTGTTACGAAACGGACAGTACCCATTATATTCTCGAAACTTACATCTGTAACACAGCGTGAGTGGTGCATGCACTGTTCTCCGACTGAGATAAGCAGCTTAACAGATTTATTGAAATTTTCTGGAGAAGAGAGCGCACATTCTTTGGCGAGAAGCACCGGCCGAGGACATAAGAGTATATCGTCTTAAAACTGTGACAAATGGAATGGCATGCAGCATGTACAACGCGGTACGCTCATTAAATCAGTGCGCGATAGGCAACTACAAACGGGTGAGTGATCATAATCAGGCCATAACCGCACGTAACACCATACTGTCTTCATTTTACGTGGACGATTTTCTCACAAGCTGTGCTGATACTCAGGAAGCAATTACTTTGGCGAATGCGGTGGATACGATCCTATCATCTGGATGCTTCAGACTACTTAAGAGGCATTCGAACAAGTCAGTGGTCCTTCAGCATTTCATGGACTCCCCATTACCTGGGGAGCGAGACATCGACGCCCCTATAGAATCCGTGCGTGGTCTACGTTGGGATCCAGTTACAGACGATTTGCTCTTCAAGGTCGCGGTAAACCAACATAGCGGTCTGCTGACTAAGCGACAGGCGTTAAGCGAAGTAGCCCAACTATTCGACCCAACGGGGTTTTTGGCACCGGTAGTGATTTCCGGCAAAATTTTCATCCAGACGCTTTGGTCGGCGGGTATTTCTTGGGATGAACCCCTCCCCAGCGACCTATATGAAGCTTGGATTAAATTTCGCAGTAGTCTTCCTACACTCAATAGCGTACGTGTACCTCGATGGCTGGGTATGAATGCAACCGAACGTACAACGCTCTGTGGATTTTGCGATGCCAGTCAGAAGGCCTACGCTGCGGTGGTGTATACGCATACCATTAAGGCTGATGGCCTTTCGCGCGTATCTCTCCTCACCGCACGGACCAAAGTTGCACCGTTAAGGGGTGCTACAATACCCAGACTTGAACTCTGTGCAGCACTTTTATTGGCAAAAACGATTTCCGACGCTAGGGTAGCGTTAAACTTAGTAGACTCCGCCTTCCACCTCTGGTCGGACTCAACAATTGCCCTCTGCTGGATGCGCAAGCAACCCTCGATCCTCAGACCCTATGTTGCTAACCGGGTCCGCCAAATACAGGAACTCACCGCCATCGATCATTGGCACTACCTACGGTCGGCACAGAATCCGGCTGATTGCGCAAGCCGTGGTTTAACCTCGTCAGAGATTTTGGTCCATGATTTATGGTGGGAAGGCCCGGCTTGGTTGCGGGAGAAGCAAACATTGTTTGATCCAGAACCGGTATTAAGGGACGAGGAGCGCACCACTGTACAAAGTGAGGAGAAGGTTCAAATATCTACCTTCATTATTTCACTACCGCTCCAGCTTACGACTCGGCTCTTGGATGACCGAATTATACCCCTATCACAACGGTTTAGCTCACTGAAGAAACTCGTTCGAACTACAGCTTTAATTCGGCGTTGATTACCAAAGCAACGGCCGTTCCGACAAGGTGTAGGGACCACCCCGGAGATGGACGCTGCCTTATAAGCGCTAATACGTATCGATCAAGGGATATAAGCTGTTTACGTGAGAGAACAACGCTGCCCAACTCCAGTCCATTGGTACCATTCAATCCCTATTTGGATGATTATGATATCGTTAGAGTCGGCGGCCGCATTAAAAATTCGGCATTATTAGAAACGCAACGTCACCCAATAATATTGCCGAAGGTAAGCGATTTGGTTGGACTTCTTATACAGCAAGTTCACATGGAAACACTCTACGGCGGTGCTTAGTTAATGCTGCAGACTCTCCGTTATAGATATTGGATTTTGCATGCACAGCAAGCAGTCAAAAGCTTAATACATAAATGTGTTATTTGTAGAAGGCATCGTGGCATTACCTTCACTCAACAAATGGATTCACTGGCCCGACAAAGAGTCACAGGTACGCGGCCGTTCATTGCATCTGGCGTTGATTACTGTGGTCCTTTCACGCTTCGGATTGGGGCGAAGCGATCCCGTTGCACAGTAAAAACATATTTGGCAATTTTCGTCTGTATGGCAACCAAGCCGTGCATATCGAGGTGGTAGACGATCTCTCATCAATTGCCTTCATAGATGCATTCACACGCTTCGTTAGTAGGCGTGGTCCCTGCCTTGATCTGTATAGTGACAATGCTACAAGGTTTGTTGGTGCTAACCGTTTTTGGAAGGAAGACCTGGCAGCCTGGCAGAATCAGCAAAATCAACAATCCCTCGCGAACCTTGGGACTCGCTGGCATTTTATTACACCCAGTGCCCCTCATCAAGGTGGGCTGTGGGAGGCGGCGTTAAAATCCGCGAAACGGCATCTGGTGCGGCTTATTGGTGCCCAGGCGATGTGGTATACGCAGTTGCAAACTCTAGCGGCCCGCATTGAGGCGTGCCTGAACTCGCGCCCACTTATTCCGCTGTATGACCCTGAGGACAAATATGCTCTAACCCCAGGGGAATTTCTCATTGGAGCCCCGCTCCTGCCAATACCAGAACCGGAGCTGGAGGAAGTTCTAGTAAATCGTTTGAAACATTGGCAGTGGCTTCGACACATTCATCAACAGTTCTGGCGCAGGTGGAGTGATGAGTATTTGTCAACACTGTAAACTAGGAGCAAGTGGCGACAACGGGCGGAAAACGTTCAAGTTGGTGACATTGTATTGGTCAAGCATGAGAACCTACCCCCTACCCACATGAGACTTGGGCGCATCACGGAGGTTCGTGTTGGCAGCGATGGCTTGGCGCGTAACGTAACGTTGAATACGGCGCATGGGCCGTGCAGCCGGGCAGTGCAAAAACTTTGCCTTTTGCTAAACCCTGATGATATCGAAGCTAAAGCTTCGACCGGGCAGGATGTGTAAGATTCCCTATTAATTAGTCTGTAACCCACAGTCACCAACGAACTCTCGCAGAGTACGGTCACTTTTTTCGTTCCGCCGTGATATTGAAAGCTTTCTCTCTGTTTGAGGTTAATCAACGGTCGCTTTTGTACAGTTATTTTTTCCTGTTATTTTCGGTCGCTTGTTTTAACTTTTAACCACACACCTGCATATTAGTGAAACTAATTCTTGTTTTTTCGCCATGGCCCCCGGGGCCACTAAACCCAAACGCAAAAAATCTAAAACTTCTACGTTGGATATATTTCCGGAACTTCCAATCGTCAAAAATGATGACCACAGGTTCTTGGTTATAAAAGCCCTGGATGAAAAGAAACCCCTATCAACTCTATCCTGTTTTGCTATCTACAAAGGTATTCAAGCAATAAGCAAAGAATCCAACAACATCACTGCTGTCACATCGCCGACAAATTCCTAGCTGCCAAATCGTTGCCTGGTGTTACAGATGTTACAGTCAAATAACATGAATCTCTCAACTCCGTCAAAGGAACAATATATGCTCCTTTCATCTGTCACTTGCCTGAAGAGGAGATTGTGGAAGGACTTAAGGAAAATGGCGTTAAATCTGCGTTCAAATTCTCCAAGATCAACGATGGATCCCGCAAATATACTGGTGCCATTCTACTAACTTTTGATAAATACCACCTCCCAGACAAAATTGAAGTTGCTTGGAGAACTTTATCCGTCCGTCCGTATTATCCAAACCCCATGCGTTGCAAGGTTTGTCAAATTCTTGGCCACACCGCAAAAAATTGCCGCAACTCTGTTATTTGTGCCACGTGCAACCTCCCACCCCCATTCTCCTTCCGAACGCACCAGAATTATGTGCGCCAACTGCCTAACAGATCATCCCTCTTTCTCAAACTCATGTCCTAAGTTTCAGCAAACTAAAGAAATACTTAAAATTAAAACTATAAATAAATGCAGTATGCGCGATGCAACCAAAAAATGAAATAATGAACAACTACCAACTACTCCTAACCCCACTTCTTTTGCTAGTATAGCAAAACTCGCAAATATCAATATTAAAGAATCTACACCTAAAAATAAAACTATTACTTCAAATACAATCTCCCCTCTTACCACCCAATCTCTTCCTGACTCTCCTCACGCTCCTCCCTTCTCCCCTCTGTCTGTTTTCGATTTATCCCCCTCTCACCACCCTTCAGATATGGAAATATCCATCCCAACCCCCCCTCTCCCAGACCCCAAATTATCAATTCTCTCCCCGCAAGTCTAAATCTGATCTTTTTATCTCTTTATTTTATTCTCGAGAGAGCTCAATCGTCTAAAGAACCTTAGAAATAAATTTTTCAAAAAGTTCAATATGTTAAAAAATCCGACACATTATGAGTTATATACTTCATACAAATATAAATTTTATAAGCTTAATAAAATGCGATATAAGAGTTATGTGCAAAATTTTGAAAATAATATTAAAGTAAACCCGAAAAATTTTTGGCGCTTTGTTAAGTCAAAAAAAGGTGTTTCTAATATCCCCACGTCGGTTTTTTACAATGACAAAAAAGCTAGCTCAATTTCCGAAGCTGCAAATCTTTTTGCTTATTTCTTTGCGTCGAATTTCGTATTAGATGATGATTATATCGTCGACCCGGACACCGCGAATGTTTGTGCCTCTGAGTCATCTTTTAACTTTGGCTGTTTGGCTATTACTGAGGAAGATACGCCACAGGGTATTGACACATAAAAATGTCCTCACAGACAGACGTGGATGGTTTTTCTGTTATCCTACTCAAAAACTGTCCATCGTTAGTTAAGCCACTGACAGAAATTTTCAACAAATCTCTATCCGCGGGTAGAGTTATTAACGATTGGAAGTTAACTTCAATTACCCCTACGTTCAAAAGTGGTAATAAATGTGACGTCAAAAATTATAGGCCTATTTCAAAATTATCTACAGTACCTAAGTTACTTGGGTGCATCATAAAAGACAAAATTTTTTTCAACCTCAGTTCTATAAATCAGCACGGTTTTGTAACGGGAAGATCGACTTTAACCAATCTTGCGGTATTCTCGGATGATTGTTTTGCTGCCTTTCAAATGGGCTGTCAGGTTGATACAATCTATACCGATTTTTCTAAAGCCTTTCTGCTTATCAAAGTTTTCAAGCTGGGCTTTCACTCTGTGTTCCTACGATGGATTGAATCTTACCTGCACGGTAGACAAACCTATGTCGTCATTGATGACATTTCTTCTAACGCATTTGTTCCAAACCTCTGGTATCCCCCAGGGAAGTATACTGGGTCCGCTGTTTTTCATTCTATTTGTGAATGTGCTTTTCTTCAGCTAAATTCCTAATGTATGCGGATGATTTAAAAATCTACTCGGTTATAAAAAATGCTCGAGACTCAAGTTATCTGCAAGCGGAGCTCGATGTGTTGTACCTTTGGTGCACTAAAAACAAATTGCCTCTTAACATTAAGAAATGCCACCAAATGACGTTTTCTAAGCTTCATAATCCTATCCGTAACACCTATCGTATTTCGTCAACAAATTTAGACTCGGTGAATGAGGTCAAAGACCTGGGGGTATATTTTGATGCAAAATTTAGTTTTGTTACACATGTTAATTATGTTGTCTCTAAATCTTACTCGATGCTCGCGTTTCTACGGCGCAATAGTTCTTCGTTTTCAGATCCGTACACTTTGAAACTATTGTATTCGTCCTTTGTCCGTTCGATATTAGAGTATGCCGTTTTCATTTGGAGGCCTTACCACCAAAAACATATAAATCGATTAGAATCTGTACAGAAGGCGTTTATCCGGTTTGCCCTACGCTCTTTGCACTTCTCTGAACCTAAGCCGGAGTACAGCTCTCGCTGTCAGTTGATCAACCTAATGACACTGCACAACAGACGAATACTTTTATCAACCTCTTTTCTATTTGACATAATCTCGGGCACTGTTGATTGTCCAGTACTGTTATGTAAAGTTAATTTCAGTGTTCCTTGTAGAATGTTGCGTCTTTATGAGGTGTTTTATGTTGTCACCAGCAAGACTGTATATAGCTTTAATGCCCCGGTTAATAGAACTCTTGTCGAATTGAATAAGCTCTTTGTTTCTTTGGACCTCGACCTCTCATCCACTAAATTTGGCTTTAATTCCCAAGTAAAAACATTATTAAGTAAAAATAGTGCTATTTAAAGACTGCCCTTTGTATTGTAATTAACATTACTTTTAAATTTACCTATGCTTAGTCTGTAAGAATTGTAAGTTCATAGACAAAAATAAATAAATAAACATTTTTATATTTAACTCACTATCATTTTCTCATCTTTTCTATTGCAGCCCCTTATGTTATCTATTCTGCAATGGAATATAAACGGTTACTTTAATAATTATATTGACTTGGAAATTTTAATTAAAAATCATAACCCCTCCGTTATTCTTTTAAATGAAACCCATCTTGCCCACAATGTCACTCCTCACTTCCCTAAAGCCTATGTTGGTCATTTTTATAACCAGCCACATATTACGTCCAACAAACGGGGTATTGCCATCTTGGTCAAAAGAACCCTACCTCACCTATCCTATATCCCCCAATCTAATATTTCCTCTCTTGCCATTGAGCTACAAACTTTCAACAAAATTACAATAGTGTGCGGTTATTCTCCTCCTGATCAATTGATTTCTACAATAGATTTCAATAACATAATTCCTTCTTCTTCATACCCTTTTATAGTGGCCGGCGACTTTAACGCGTGGAACTCCCTCTGGGGGTCCGTTTCCACAAACTCTAAAGGTCGGAAAATTGAAGACTCCATCCTAGTTTCCAACGCAGTTATCCTAAACAATGGGTCACCCACCCATTTTTCTACCCATTCATCCTTTACACATATTGACC